TATAGATGAATATAGTGGTCTCCCAATCGGAGGAGTTCACATGTCAAAGTGTCCTTGGGCAAGACACTGAACACCCAAGTTCCTCCCGATGGTTAAAAGCCATCAGTGTGAGTTGGCGCCGCAGATGGCTGCCTTGGTTCTGTACCGGAAACAAATTCCTTGTATGTGACATACTTGGCCAAATAAAGGTGATTATCCTTATATAAATAGATATATCACCTAAGTGAATAAGTGCATTTACCAAAAGGCTGAATTATTGTTCAGTAATACTATTTGTATACATTTTCAAATGCATATATGGGTGATCCATACCATATATGTTATGGCTCCTATTTCCAACATCACATGCTGGGCAGCAAGCTCCACCTCACCAAGTATACCTGATATGATAAAGGTCAGATTCAGAAATGTTCAGCTTTTCCCACCATGCCTAAAAGCCACAGCAAATTGGTACAAATGTTTGACCAAACGTGTACCCAGCTTGCTACTTCTTTATTAATTTGACAGGTTGAGTGGATGAGAGAGGGAAAAGGTGTATTATTGAGGTCAGATTTTTTTTTTTTACTTGCTGCATAGGTTGTATTTTAAGATTGTTTTCTTAATTAAGGTGAATTTATGGCACCACAATTTCTGAAACTGAACACCGGGCACCTCCAAAGCCAGCATTTTTAAGTTCCTCTCACAGAAGAAGTAAGAAGAAAGTAAGAACGAAAGTAAATGTGTCAAGAACAATCCAGCACTGACCAGAAAGGAAACCTCCAATATCCCAGATCCACCATTCAAAGCAAATCATTAAGGCACTGGGAATAGCCAGCCTCATATAGGAGCCCCATTCCTGCAAACACTCGGTGGACCAGCCTGCAAAAAGTTTCACAAAGAATCATATTTAGTGTGGCCTGTAGAGCAAAGTGATTTTAAACTTCTTGCATGCATCGTTCACCTTCTGGCTCAGATGAGTACCAGAAATACTGATGCACTCACATTAGTTTTTGATATTTGTTTGTATAACTCACCTCCCCATGTCTGCTGGTGGAGCTTCTTCCATCTGATGTAGCCATACAGCAGCAGGCAAATGGTAATCTGGGAGAGACTATTAGCTATTGCTGATCCACTGCAAACACACATGGCAGAACATCTTTATATGTCGGAGGGATGTCTAATGACAGCCATATAGTAATTGTGGCTTCATCCCTCTCTCTACAGAAAGACAGGGAGACGAAGGACTGCACACCGAGGTGTCAAAGGAGGTCGGCATCAAGACAAAGTTACATTGCGGTTGGAGTACACTTAATGTCTAACTAGGAATCCACAGTGAAAGGGAGACGTGAGCAAGACATAAGCACTACTGAACTGTGATTCTATTCAGTCCACACTGAACGCAAGACGTGCGTGTCTTTGTCTGTGTCATCAGAACAGCTGTCTGTCTGGCAGCAGGACAGTGACAGGAGAAAGAGGCTTCACCAGGTCGACAGATGAAATGTACTGGACAAAAGTAGTTTTCATGTATGCTGGTCAGGGAAAAAAAATCTCGCTTTTATACACCCTCTGGATTTTTTTGATTTTATTGTTTTTCTTCAGCTCTAGAGAGGGTTTGTGTGTTTTTAAACAGCTGTCTGTGGAGATTATGCTTCACTATCAACATATGTGTGTGGTGTTTGTTTCTCATGGTGTTATGTTGTTTGTTCTCCATTGCTGCTGAAACACTGAAATTTCCCCACTGAGGGATCAATAAAGTACCTACCTACCTAAACACTGCAGAGGGGAAAAAATAGACCTGAAGCCTAAAAAACATGAGGGTTCCAGGAGAGATGCACTTGATACACACATCTCAGATTCAGTGTGGAATGAAACATTTGATAGAATGGAATTCTATCTGCAGCTTGAGACGGGCATGAGACATGCGTAGAAAATACTTTAAAAAACAACTTTCAGTATGGATTAGAGGCTAGGGGCAAAGTTCATGCTTGACATGAGAGGGGAAGAACAGACCTGACCTACCCACAGAGATCTGATTGGTTAAGTCGACTGCCTGCTGAATCAAATGTTTGTCCAGCTGGACCAGCATCAACTCCAGTCATAGCTTTCTCTTCTCTGTCTACCCTACTCTGCCTCTCTCTCTAAATAAAGTACAAAGATTTGGACAACATTCAGTGTTTGAATGCTAGAGGCTAATTTGTTGCTCATGGCAGTTGAATCCTGATACCATATCAAGTGGCAGAAAGTCCATGAAAAATGACAAGGTAAGGAGAAGCAACGTGATGTACTTACACGACACCCAGCTTGAGGCTGAAGATTAAGCCATAGTTGTACCCCAAGTTAAAAAGATTTGCTACTGCAGCTGTGTACATCTGTGGAAGAATTATCCCCTGACAGACAAAGAAAACACAAAATCTATAATCAACTAATTTGTAGAGCTACTATTCAAACTGCATAAACATTATTTAGTCAGGTTAACTAAAATTTATTCAGTTTTCATTTTCCCCAGTAGCAAATTCAGAAAAAAATCAGTCACTGTAGCAGCTTGGTAAGGCTGTACTTAAAGAATAAGGCTGGTCATTTTCTATATTAACAGTATTTTAAACACTCACCCTACAGGGACTAAAACCAACAATGACTTGCCTCAACTCATGATTATTTTCTGTCAATCTGTCAGAACCCAATTAGCTTATTGGCCTGTGGCCTCCATTGTTGTTCAAAAACAATTAAAAACACACTAGGGAAACACACCGCTGCACTGGGTGACATGTTTCCTCATTACAAAACACCAGGCCCTAATATTTTTTGCAGATGTTTCCCCAAAGGTTCAAACAACCATAACTTTTTACAGCGTCAGAAGTAAGCAAGAGTCAAGGGCTCTTTCACAAAATCGTACTGACAGTTGGTGGCCCTAGAAGAAAAGTTATTACAAATCATCCTCAGGGGGGCATGAACGTCTGAATCAAATGTCATGGCAATCCATTCAGTAGCTGTTGAGAGACATTTTACTCAAAACCACAAATGTGGATCTCATGGTGGAAACGTCAGGGGACCATAAAATTATTGGGGTGTAATCACAAATGTCTGTGCCAATACTTTTACCCACTAGCATGAAAGAAGCTAAATAATCACCACCTTTGGATCATTTTGGTGAATATTATTTTCAACTAATGATAAAACTGCTGACACTGCTGAAAAGATCACAACTTTGTACCACTGGTGTGCCACATTTTTTCTGAATTTGATCTGAGAAAAGATGGAGTACACAAATGAAATTCAGTGCAGCAAAACACGTCTGTTTCCTGCCATGAACTTACCTGGTTTTGTAGGTAGGAAGTTTGTAGATGGTGCAGGAATATGGCCTGTAATGACAAAAAGACAGAGAGAATGTTTCATCAAACGCAGTTTTAATGAAAATGCAATACACTAATTTAGCTGCTGACCCTATGCTACTCATGCAGTTCCAAATGCTGATAGGCTGTGTGAATAGGGTTAACATGCATGCTAATAATTTAATGAAAAATATATTAATGGGGAATATTATAGTTCCTGCAACTGACATACACTCCAACTAAATACTGAATTATACAGAATGTACAGAATGTACTAAATAAGGCATTAAAAATGTTTGTACCCCAGGGGAATACACTATATTTCTCAGACTCTGAGAAGAGTTTCATTTCAGCGCACTCACTGGAACAGCTGGTAGAAATATCATCACATAGATCTGGGCAATTCTGCAGGGGAAGAAAATTGAGTAATATTGATTTAGTAAAGAAACCACTTATTACAAATTATGATAATAATTCCCTCCTTCCTCAGTCATGCTCCTCTTTTTACATGTAATGTATCAAAACTATGTCTGAACAAAATTACTTTTTTAATTTGTTGTTGCTTTTGTTTTCTCAGATGTTTTAGGTCTTCAAAGCAAATAAATCTAACTATAATGTTCCACGGAAGTATAGGGAAAACACATTCACCTACAAGTAGATAGATTCAGGGATCAAACTGGGGTGGAGCCTCCCAGAGCTGAACAATAGTATTTGTAGTAATGGCATTACTGCAAGCACTAAAGCATCACTTCACCCAAATTACCAATAAATTTTAAAAATAAATATAATAATGACAATTTTCCTGCTTCTTCCTACTGGTGCAGTGGTGCAAATAAGTATTTGATACACTGCCGATTTTTCAACTTTTCCCACTTACAAAGAATGGACAGTTCTGTAATTTTCATCGTAGGTACACCTCAACTGAGAGATACAGAATCTACAAAAAAAATTCCAGTAAATCACATTGTTAGATTTTTAAATAATTTATTTCCATTTTATTGCATGAAATAAGTATTTGATACAATAGAAAAATAGAACTTAATATTTAGTACTGAAATCTTTGTTTACAATTACAGAGGTCAGATGTTTCCTGTAGTTCCTGACCAGGTTTGCACACACTGCAGCAGAGATTTTGGCCCACTCCTCCATACAGGTCTTCTCCAGATCTTTCAGGTTTTGGGGCTGTCGCTGGGCAACACGGAGTTTCAGCTCCCTCCATAGATTTTCTATTGGGTTTTCTATTGGGTTCAGGTCTAACAATCTAACAATGTGATTTACTGGAATTTTTTTTTGCAGATTCTGTCTCTCTCAGTTGAGGTGTACCTACGATGAAAATTACAGATCCGTCCATTCTTTGTAAGTGGGAAAAGTTGAAGAATCGGCAGTGTATCAAATACTTATTTGCCTCACTGTATGTGGCCATTTAGATAGACTGAATTTGAAATATCTGTCTCTGAAATGTCACCAATACAATGGAAGTGAGTGGAATTTAATTTGTTGTGTGGCAAAACATTTAGAAAATTCAGCAGCAACATTTCTTTGCTCAAACTGCTGTTGTTGCTGTGGACAGTCCACAGATCACAGTGTCTGCTGTTCACTGAAGGTACAAGCTACTGAAGAACTAGTTGCTATAAATACTGCAAGCATGGTGCTAAAGATAAGATATGTATTTTGTTGTTTTTTGGCTTAACCAGTAGTTTGTCAGTTTGTTTATACACATGTGCAGAACACACATGCCCACATCCGATATGTATGTTATTAATGTTCCAGTTTTGTAAAATGTGAATTTACCTCACCACCTCGTCCTCTTGGTGCATCATGAGCAGTAAGCTGTGAGAGTTGATGAGAACAGCCCAGCAGGGCAGACAAAACAGAAGCAGGATCAACGAACTCCTTTGTAAAATGACTCCCACACGTTTCAAGTTCTTACTGCCAAACGTCTGCAAAATAACATGTGAAAACTGAATCTGATTATCTGGGTTTCATATTTAAATCATTCTGTGGATAATATACAGTAACAGTAAGGCACAGATAAAGTTGATTTGTTCACCTGGGAAATCAGTGTATCACAAGCCACACCAAGACCATAACCTGTTGCAAGTGTGGTCACGTTAATGAGCTGGAGAGGAGGGATGGAAAATCATATAAAAAACAATTTGAGAACAAAAACCAAACATTAGGATTCAGTTAAAACATGTCAATGTTCAAATGGCAGAGATTTTTCCCAGCAAAGTGTCACTTATGCTGTGCTCACATAGGTTTTCTTCTTGGTATTTTGAAAATTGACTGCAGTGAGTGCAATGGATGAACAGGGCGTTTTGACTCAATTAATCACCCCATGTCACAGTGTCCATCATGAGCTGACAAATGGATATGGATGCCCTGTACCAGGACATTTATGAGTGCTGCAGGAAGATGTTATTTCTGTCATCTCTCCAAAGTCAAACAATAGGCTGTTCTCTGGGTACTCTCTTGTAAGAAAAACTGAGATGCACTTATTTTATGTCTCAATCCACAGAATTCGTGCAGAACTCAAGGACAGCTGAGGTGGAACTACTAGGTGACTGATAAACAGGCTTTTTTTATTTGGTGTGTTTGCCATTGTACACTCTGAAGGTTTTCAAGCCACAACATTATGAGACATTGTTATGGCTAAATCCAGAGCTTGTCATGTTTCACACAGTCCAATTTGTCCAGAACCTAACCAAGTTACAGTCAGTTAGAAGTGAAGGGCAATCAGACAGCAAGGGTTGTAATCTGTATTCACTCAAGTCTTCTTGCATCCAGGCTTGCTGCTGTTGTCGCAACAGTTTAGATAGTATAAGAGAGCAAAATGGTCCACTCACACTCACAATAAAAAAAAAAAACTACTTTTGTGGACCATGGTGGCCTAGGATGTCGGGTGCTGACTATAAATTGCAACAGTGAAAACTGTTCATCTGTTCAGTAAATTGTGTACATCACCTCTATCAAGACCTTTTCCAGGTCTACACAGTCAGAACTAGATGGTAGCCATGGTTGTAAGAAGCTTTCAATTCTGTCATGTTTTGTTCATGTTCTTGATATTAACATTTAAATTAATGTTCCTTTTCAATGTGAAAATGTTGATACACCCAGTCTGAATGAGAATGAATTTCAAGTCACTCATTTGGTTTGCAGGTTCATAGTTCAGTGCCAGGAGGTCTAACAGTTTCTGCGTGTGAACTGTGGAAAGCCATTTCCAATACACATGCTCACAGAAACCAGGCACCATGGCAGGCTGCCAGAGTAAATGAATGCGTGATAAAAAGGGTTCAACATGTAGCAAGCCAAAGTGAAACAAATATTTTTTAGGACCGAGTTGACTGGCCAAACTGGGGCTGGTATTGTCTTTATGCATCAATCAGGTCTGACTAAATTACATCTATTTTATGTCTTTGTGCCTGACAGTGTTTTTGCTGCTGGTGTTAAGTCTTTTAAAGCTTCAACTGCAATGAAATCACCATCCTAAATAAAGAGACTAATATAAAAAGTGTGTACATATGGAAGAAAAAGATCTCCAGTAGATTTTTATGTTGCTTTGTTTCTAGGATTTGCAATTGTTTGCAGGCAAGTTAGCAAAGCATTTGAAACGTCTATAGTACAGTGTACTGTAAGGCATGCATTGATGCCCTCTGATACCACCTCCACACCATCACTGGTGTCCAGGCAAACCAATCAGTGGAAACTGACACATAGACCAGTCTGTGGCCTGTGGCCATTCAAATGTGGCCAGAAATGAAGTTTCTGGTCCTGACAGCTAAACATACTGCAACTGATGCAAATAGACAAAAGACAGGTAAATGAGCTTCTAAAAGGTTTTGTGCAGGATAGACCTCTCTAACCAGTCAGAGGTTTTCAATTATTTCTGCTTGATGAGTAAGTTTTTTCTCATTTCTTGTAATTTCATAATGACAAATATCTGATGAGCCAGGCAGTGCATGGTAGAGGGAGCGCTGGGCGGAGCAGAGTGGATTGATTTGGAGTTTGATGCTAGTGCTGCCTTAAGTTAGATACTGTAACTTTAATTATTTGAGTTTTTTGTATTTATAGTGTATTTAAGTGTTTGACTGTATACAGTATGTAGCTTAAAATTAGGGAGGAAATGTTTCATTACACAAATCTTGAAGGCACATAGACTTCTGGTCCAGTTTTAAAGCTGACTTTGTTAAGTTAGTTAACTTCACATTGCTCCTTAGAACTTCACTTTACTTTACTTCTACTGTGTATTGTGTTCCGATAGTCTGTACAAAATTGTCAATGTTTTCCTGTTTGTGCAGTCAGTTGCAAAACAGTTCTTTACCATATGCTGAGTTTGGTTTGAAGTCTTTCTGCACCCTTCTGGAATATGGTCTATGTGTCAATTTAATGTTTCATCCACAACAGACACCACATTGCACCAGTTACTGAAGACCTGCAGTATCTCGTAGTATCTCAAGTGTAATGCAGTTACCACACACTGAGGTAAAGCAGCAGGATCACCACAATACAGCGGATGGCCACTGCCCTCCGTGCACAAACAATGCAAATTCTAATCCTATTGTGAGTAGTGGATAAAGTGGAAGTCATAGTAATAGCAGCAGGAACAGTAATGTTAGTACAGAATGTAGGAAGCAATGGCAGTCTTTATCCTATACGGGAGTATAGACAGTACCGCTGAGGCCAGTGCATATCCAGCCAGTTCTGCGTTGCCAATGTGACCACAGAATATGCTGATAACAAATGGTATCAGGAAGTTCAGAATCCGAGACAGCAGCTGTAGAAACAAATAGAAAGATGTGATTTTTCCAAACAGCCCACCACTGATCAGGTAAAGCTGTTGGAGAAAATCATTGTACTGTACTCTACAAAGTAGTTTTCACTTAGAGAGCAGTGTTGCGAAATCACCAAGCCCAGTCAGGTTTGTACCAAAATGCAGTAAGGACATAAATTTATTTAATGTTTCACATACTTTATATAATTCACACCTTCACAACTAGTAACTGATTATGTTGTTAGACTATACTCTGTAAGAAGTGCACATCTAATGCAAACAAAGGAATACAGCAACTAAAGACTTCAACTTTTCCCTACTCACCAATGGGCCTGTAAGCCGTAAGACTTGGTAAAGTTCTTCTCTGTAGCCTAGTGGTAGCCATTGTCTCACGCACGTACACCAAAACAGTTTGGAGCTGACTGCTACCACTGCCTCATCTGTTTCAACCCCTGCTGCCTTAGCAACAGAAACCCCAGCAATGAGCCCTGCACCCAGCGAGGGGTGTGCAGGTTCCAGAGAATCCAGCCTCTCCATTCAAACGCAGAAAGGGAAGACAGAAAGGAGAGGGAAGGGAGTAAAGCTCCAGAACACAGGAGGGTAGGAGAGAGGGAGGGAGCGGGGAACCAGAGAGCAAAGTTAAGAGGTGCAGTCAGTCTATCTGGGTTTAGAAATACATCACATACATTTCTTCAAAGTTACTGATTAAATAATATGGTTGGAATCAGGGTTGAGACATTGAATAAAGAAGGGGGGGCAAGAACACAGAGGGAGTGACACAGGGAGTAGAAAAAAAGAAAAGCCATTTTATTGATACAGGGGTCAAAGCAGTGTGAGTGAGCACTTTGTGAAAATGTTTTGGTGCATGTGTATGAGTGTGACTGTGTGTGCTGGGAGCCTTTCAGGGCTCAGTAGTAATCTGATGAGGAATGTTTGTTTGCCTGGTGAGATGGCATGAACTCTGTAGATTTTGATTAACTACATACAGGACAGCCATGCTGTTGGTGTTTGTCTATGCACATGCAGTAGCCATTAATTTTATCTGATGGTACTTTGATCCTTGACTTTATCCCTGGGGACACCCTCCTCGTGTATTTGAAACAAACAGGGTATCGTCTGCTTAAATGTTAATCGACTACCCTGACTGAGTGATAGTATTGATTTAAGCACTAATACTTAATCTTTAACTTTGCTGAAAAGACACCAGATTCAGGAAGTGCACAGTGTATCATTTGTAATAACAGGAGGGCACAATTGGTGGCAGTGTTTGCATGACCTTTGGTATGAGAGCAGTAACAAGCACGACCCTCACATTACAAGGAAGAGATCCCTGTATGCATCTGTCTAGTATATGTATATTAGTAGCTAGTCAGTTGTGCAACATCACTTAAAAACCGTTCTTCTCCCAAAGGTATATGTGTTATAAATGCTGCAAACCCTTTTTTTTTATTTAACCTGACTGTACACTTAAAGAAAAATTGTACACAAAAAAAAAATCCAATGTTTATCATGCACTAAAATTAACTTTATCAAATGCAAATACATGAGCACAGAAGTAAGAAACTTGAAGACGGCATGACTAATATAACTGGCACTTTCTAGTCAAAATTACATAAGGGGTTTTTTGAGAATAAATATCAGAAGCATGGCTATTGTTTAACCTCAGTCATATATCAAACTTAATAAATATTTCATTACAGTGCATGTTGATATTTTAGTAAGCACAAAATAGTCAATTTATAATGGTTAGTAGTACTACTGAGACATTTGTAAAAAAAAAAAATTTAAATTAAAACTTTTTTAAATTATCAGCTAACAATTGAAACAATTATATAAAAAATTTTAAATCATGCAACTTGTGAAAAGTAGTTACAACTGTTAAAGTTTGTGTGCTCATACAAAGCCCAAACACAAAGCTCACAGTTTGTTTACAAGCACAGTTTGTAGGTCTCCTTAACTCCTGTACATGCAGCTGAAGAAAAAGTTTTCAGTGGTTTTCCACAGCTGTTGGAAGCATGCACAGACATATGCACACAGTCACGTACTTGCGGACATTTGCATAATCTCCTAACCTCATGCTCCCCCTCCTCCTCCATTCAGTGTTTGCTGTGTTCTCCTTGTTAGAGTTTTAAATCTAATATTAATCTAGTTGTCTTCAGCTAATGCAATATTAACAACATCAAACCTACTGTAGACAGAAATTTTTATTTATCATGACTGATTAAACACTTGATCAAGGTAGGTATCAACTAAAAGCTGAACCAGTGTTGACAATGGGTATTAATATTACACCCATTGAACAGGTAAATGAGACAAAACCTCTTGGTAAAATTTTGGATTATTCATTGTCGTGGTTCACACAAATTGATGTGAGTAAAATGGGGAGGGCTCTGCCACCAGATGTCACTAGTAAGTTATATGTACTTTAGTTCTGTCACAACTTGATTACTGTTTAATAGTTTGGTCCATTGCGTCAGTGAAAGATTGTTCAGAATATAACAGTGTACTGCAGTGTTTGTACAGATTAAATGTAGGAACTATGCATAACAACCTGGCCTGGCTGGCGGTCAGACAGAGATCCACCTATGCTTTGTTAGGTTTTAATCAGAAATATAGTGGTGACAAGATCACAAACAATATGATATGACATAATTTAAACTATTCCTAAATCTTCATAGATTTTAATTCCAGAAGTGTGTATTGACACTACTGCTGTAGGTGTAAAAAGGGAGGGATCTGTTTTCATACCCTTTTCTTGAAATGGGGATGTACAATACAGTGAATACAGTATGTACTATTTATACTGTGTACATTTTTAAATGACTTTTTAGTATGAAATGGTATTTGTTATGAAATTAATAAGGAACTGTGTATATTTTGTGATATTTGGCTTAACGTCCTGGTAAGGTGACAATTTAGTTCTCTTCTGTTGTTTTATTTGGGACTTAATAGTTTTGTGTGTAGTGTTCATGTGACTGTAGTGTGTATATGGTTGTATGCCTGGTAGACCCCAGGACAAATAGCCAATGTTTAAACTAGTGTGAAGGGGGATCCTAAATAACAGATAAAGAGAAAGATTTTATATGATTTTGTTTTGTCATTACTTTCACTTGTATCACTACACTACATCCATATTGCCATACAAAGTTAGAGCCATAACTAGAGCTACTGTGAATCTCACAAACCAAGTTCTGAAGTTTAAAGGCTGTCAGCTAAACTTTTTTATAGACGTTAAATTTGCATGGCCTTTTATTTACACATTAGGACATTAGTAAATAGAGATCACATGAATTTGATGTAAGAATACAGTGAAACAAGAAATCCACATATCCACATCCTAAGAAGCTTTAGTGCTAAGGCAATGACTAGACCCAATAAAATGTTTCCGTGTGCTTGCACATTGTAAGTTCACAACAATAAAAAAAGAAAAGTATCAGGGTGGGAGGAATGAAAGGCAGTTAACTGGAACAGGCAAGTAGAATGATGAGAAAGACAGTTAACATTTAAGGGAAGTTATAAATGTGTCTTCATCCGCACGTGTAGCATAAAAGAGCCACTGAAGATTCAAACAGCCCTCCCATCCTCATATTCACACACACACATACAGGGATCATCAGAAATAAAGACAAGACGACAAGAAATAATCAGTGTCAGGTAAGTAGCTCTTTGTCATCTCAGGATCCAAAACCTTTGTGTGTCAGCAACACTAAGGATTTCTTTTAAGCAAATTGCAGTTACAATATTTTATTATTAATGTCAAGTGGTAAGTGTGAATAAGTACAAATTAGCTCTTTAAAGACAAATGGAGTGCATTTAGATAGTGCTTTTAACATTGTAGGTCCCAAAGCTGACCTGAGATCTTTCAAAAGCTTAGCTGATGGATGGCCAAGGAGGCAAGTAGTAGGCACAGAAGCAGGCAAAGATTCAAAAGATGCCATCTAAATATCTATCTGGGATTCAGTATAATGTTCAATCGGTTCGGTAGAAGGAACTGGGGGTAAAGAACACGCTTTCCTATCTATTTTACTGCAGAAAAAGTAAAAAGAAACTCATGAGCCCTTTAGCTTCAGTGCCAAGAAGAAAAATAAAAGAAAAACTATGGGATTGTGTTTATTGTTACTGCTTAAAGGAGAGAAATATACAGACCTAGCAGCAGACAGAACACACCTGTATTTCAGTACACTCATGCATTCGAGTTATTGAAGATAGAAAGCTTCAAGTTTTGATTTTAGCCATGTTTGCTGGAGGCTCCTACAGGCCTGCTTAACGATGCTTTTCTCCAATAAACCTGCTTCACCATCTGGTTTTGGTAGTATGAAGTGCAGCAGGGTCGAGGAGACTAGTCAGAGCTGTGTTTAAGTCACTGGTTTGGTTGTCACTAGAGCCTGTCACTGCAGTGAATGGAACCAGGACCAATTGTTCTCCAAGAACAGCTAAAGTTGATGGACCATTATGTTGAGTAGTACTAAATACATTTGCACTAATATTAAGAGGATATGCTGATGTTGCTTTGAATTTGGTTTACTTATTGTCATACTGCACATTGCATGTTCAGATACAGCAGAGGGATCATAACCTTTTGTGATTTAATTTTCTGTGAAGTTGTTCAACAATTTGATTGTTTCAGACTTGAAAGATATACAGTAGGTTTGTCTTACAAGACATTTTGATTAGCCATAAAAAGGGGAAATTGAAATTCATATTAAGGTCACTAAGGTTACAAATGATTAATTTGTTAAGTTTTGATGTTGCGACTCTGATGGTTGCTCTGGACTTCAGTGTCGGAAGTGATCAGTAGCCTAACAAGTTTGAAGAACCAACAGAAAATATTAATTCAAACCAATTTTGTTGAAATGTGAAGTGTTGATGAATTTAGATCCAACTTTGTATGTGTGCCTTCTTTTCCTTACCTCCAGGTTTATCCAAGGAAGAGAAAAATGAAATTGATGTCCAGGGCCCCACTCTTCCATTTGCTCATTTACTGTGCAACCCAGACATTTGGTAAGCTTTAGGCTTGCTATTCAGGTCACCTATAATTTGTTTGACTGTCTATTAAAATATTGCAACAGGGTATTTTTCTCACCACATTTGTGCAATCAAAGCTTTCACTGCTTCGCTCAGGATTCCCTTAAAGTTCAAACCAACTTTCTTCCCCTTTTCTTTTCTAAGGTGTTAAGATCAAGTCTGTCCCAGAAGTCAACAGTGAGGGTGTCATTGAAACAAAGTTAGAGGAGACTGTGTCTCTGCTTTGCCTTCCTGATGGTGCCTCTGAGGATCAGACTGATGAACAGCTGGTCTGGCTGAGGAACGGAGCCATGGTCAGTCTGAGAGAAGGAAATAACAAAGGTAGCAGCAACGTTTGCATTACACCAGTCATCCTCGAAGATAATGGTGCCACCTTCACCTGCCACCTGAGCAGAAACACCACAGTTAGTGCCTCAGTCACCCTGAATGTCACATGTGAGTCTCATCAATTAAATATCACAAATAATGATAATATTAGAAAATAATATGGGTTTTTTTTTTTTTTTAGCCACGCTAGGGATGGTGATATTGGTCTGCTTGTCAGTCAGTCTACAACTGTAGTCAACTTTTATGGTTTTGAGTGAAATATCTTAATGACTATTAGATGAATTGGAGTGAAATATTGTATAGACATTTATGGTCCCCACAAAATGAATCATGATAACATTGATGATCCCCTGACATTTGATCAAATATCATCATCAGGTTTCAACTTGTCCAACCAATACCCACAAAGCTAATGATATTCTCAGCAGCCTCAGCTGTACTTTGTGCTACTTGAAAATGTTAGCATGCTAAGGTTAGAACAGTCTAACCTAGAGTCACTAATGTGCCTTTAGACTCTTAGGCTTGTTAAGTAACAAATAGCCTACAGCAGTCATCTAAAGGTCCTTGAGACACAGCATTGCTTTGAGTAAAATTATAACATCAGCACGCAAACATGTTCTGAGTCTTGGTTTAGAGAAAAATACAAGAGAAATGTCATGATTTTGTCACGAGAAAAGTTCTTTTTATGTACAGCCATTCGTTTCTCTGGGAACCATTAATGCCTTTATAAAATGTCATGTCCATTCATCCGTTACCTGTGATATTTCAGTATGGACCAAGGCAGATAGACTGACAGAATGACAGTGTTATCTACATACAGTGTGTTAAAAATGGTTAAAAAGGGTGGCTACTAGATTAACGTGCAGTTGAAAGATAAAAAACATCTGCACTGAAATTTGTTATCTAAATAATTTGTTTGCATCAATCTAGGGAAAAAAACCCAGCAGAATTAATATATTCTCCATGTTGTTGCTCTGCAGATGGCCCATTGCTCTCTGGGTCAGAGCAAATTACAGTAGAAGATGAGTCAGTTCTAGTCCTGCAGTGTGATATTTGGGCCAATCCACCAGTCTCATTTGTGTTGTGGACACTAAATGGAAGCGCCGTGGATCTAGTAGCAGGCGGCTTCACTGTGACCCATGACGCCTTTACAACCCAGCTAACCACCAACAAAGTGAAGAAAGGTGTGCATGAGGGGACGTACCAGTGCAAAGCAGACTCTCCCCTCTATGGAAATTACAGCAAGTTCTTCCATGTCACAATAACAGGTCAGTTCACACAATCAGCACAGTTTTGCTGAAGCTATCTCATTGTTTATGTGTAATCAGCAGATGAAATGATGAATCAGTCAGTGATATGAAGTAAGAAAAAATGGGTCGATCTTCTTTCTCTTCATCTGTAGAAAAGACCATGCCGTTCCCATTATTTCCCATGATAGCGGGGCTGGTGGTGGTGTGCCTTACTGCAATTTTAGCTGTGGTTGCACGGTGGGGCATAATCATAAAGGTAAAACACAAAACACACATACATACAATACAAAGACTGACTCATTATAAGCTAAACTTCTTACATTTTATTTCTCTTTTGACAGCATTGTAAGGGTTGCACAAAATAAATGGTTTCACCAAAAGAGAGAAGCTGAGAGAATACATAAAGAAAACCCTGACAACAGCAAGGGCTGTGTGCAAAGGCCTGTGATTAAACCAAAATGTAGCAGGCTGTCTACTATCATTTATTTAACCAGTTATTATGGCAGGAGGATATGTGATTTTTGACCTTGAGATAATCCTTAAATGTGTTCATAGTATGATGCTCAGTGACCCTGTGATGTAAACATTGGATTTGCCTGTTTTCTTGTTAATGTGTTATATAAAATGCAAAATAAAAATTGCTTTTGCTTTCTCACCTAACCTGAATGTGCACTGATATTGCATGCACATCATTCTTCTGGGGGATGCACCGGGGGTGGATGAGATCCGCCCTGAGTACCTTAAGTCTCTGGATGTTGTTGGGCTGTTTTGGTTGACACGCCTCTGCAATGTCGCATGGCGGTCGGGGACAGTGCCTCTGGACTGGCAGACCGGGGTGGTGGTCCCTCTTTTTAAGAGGGGGGACCGGAGGGTGTGTTCCAACTATAGGGGGATCACACTCCTCAGCCTCCCCGGGAAAGTCTATGCCAGGGTACTGGAGAGGAGAATTCGACCGATAGTCGAACCTCGGAT